CGGCGGGAGGGGGCGGTGCTGACGGAGGCCACGCCCCTGGATCCCTAACCCCGCCCCCTGGCACCTAGCGCCCCTGGATACGTAACTAGACCTGCCCCCCGATACCTAACTCCTCCCCCTGGCAGATAACCACGCCCCGCTTACCTAACTCCGCCCCCTGGCAAATAATCACGCCCCACTTACCTAACTCCGCCCCCTGGCAAATAATCACGCCCCACTTACCTAACTCCGCCCCCTACAGCTAACCCTGAGACAATACCCCGCCCTGACACCAACTCCGCCCCTATAGAAAACCACGCCCACCGCCTAGCCCCGCCCACAAGGCCTAACTCCGCCCCCTATAGCTAATCCTGCGACAACACCCCGCCCTGACACCAACTCCGCCCCTATAGAAAACCACGCCCACCGCCTAGCCCCGCCCACAAGGCCTAACTCCGCCCGTTTCCCCTCCCACACGAACCTGTCTACCTGATTGGCCTCTCCCTCTAGTCACACCTTCAACTAGCTACTTCCACTCAGATCTGCAGCTTTTACCCCACCCATTCACTGGCCCCTCTCTTCCTCGCCGCCAGGATCTCTTCTCCCGGTTCTAACTCCACCCCTTCATTTACCCAACTCCTCTCTCTTACCTTCCAATGTCTTCCCACACCAACCAATTTTGCCCTTTCCTGGGTTATCAAGCCCCAGGCAAGCCTGCCTCCCAGTTTTGGTACACTCCTTTATCTCTCCTAATAACCTCGCCGCCACCAGCCTACTCTCATTCCTCCCTGCCCTCCTCCTAATCTTCTCAAGACAGGTCCGAATCACCCCTTCCTTCCATCAAATCTCTCACTCTAGCAGGGTGGGCGCTGGTGGCTCACACCTGTAATCCTGGCTACTCAGGAGGCTGAAATCCTGAGGATCGGGAGTTCAAAGCCAATCCTGGAGGGAAAGTCCCCGAGACTCTTACAAAAGCCACAAGTGGAGATGTGGCTCAAGTGGTAGAGTGCCAGCCTTGAGCATAAAAGCTCAGGAATAGCCCCAGTACTGGCATGCACACACACACACGCACACACACACTGAAAGAGAAAATCTCACTCCATCCTCCAGTTTACCTAGTCCTTTCCTCCCAGATTCCCTCCTTCCAGACTCCTCCCTAGCTCGTTCTCATCTTCCCCATCACCCTCTCCCCTACATCTCTGCCTGCTCATCTTCCTTTCCCACCACCTCTCCCACCCTGCTCCTGACCCCTCACCCTCCTCACCTAGCACACGCAGCTCAGCGGCAGCGGTGGCAAAGTCACGTGTGAGAGGCTTGTTGGCTCGGCACACGTAGACCCCAGAGTGTCTGGGCTGAGCTTGGGCAATGAGTAGGTTGGTGCGGCCCAGGACGATGACGTCAGTGGAGATAGGCTTTCCATCTGCAAGAGAGGGAGCAAGCTGGAAGGGATACTGAGGACATCCCTCAGTCCCTCTCCCCACTTCAAGTACCCTCTTCCTCTTTGTGCTAGGCAGGCGAGCCTGATCCCTTACCAGCTCCATGAAAGCATGTGCTTTGTCCTTTACTATGCTGATCAGTCACTGTCATTAACAAATTGACTTCTGGGGCTGGGAAGGTGGCTCAGTGGTAGAACACTTGCCTTGCATGCTCGAGGCCCTGGGTTCGATTCCTCAGCACCACATAAGAAAAAAGCCGGAAGTGGC